GCGCATTGTGTCCATGGACATGTTCATCGACCGACACGCTCACACCACATACCAATGGATGAAGCTGGCTGTGTACAAAAACTTCACACTAGCGGATGTGGACGACCCAACGATTCGGGACGCTGTCCGATTTGACAGTATCGGCTCAAAGACTCTCAAAGCCCGAATGATTGCCGCTGTCAAGTTGGCAGAACTTGATATGTGCGCCGAGCTCAAGGGTGAAAAGTACGTGTTGGTGTTCGACGGTGTTACGGACGCGTGCGAGCATTCTCTGGCCGTTTTCGCCGTAACTAAGAAGGGGGCGCGTTTTCTGGCCTTGTCGACCTTCATGAATGAGCAGAGTATGACGGTTGACGAACACATTCGCTTTCTCGATATGATATTGACCCAGTACGGGCTTTTGGACACCGATCTTGTGGCGATCGTGTGCGATAACATGGAGACCAACAAGGCCATCTCTCGAAGGATCATAGCACCGATGATCGGGTGTGCAGCCCACCGTTTTAATCTGGCTGTCCGAGAATACGTTGCTAAGCATTCTGATGTCATCGACAAGGTGGCAACACTGATGCGAAAATTGAAGACTGTTAAGAGGATTGCACTTCTAAAAGCTAACAAGTGCAAGTACAAACCCGTACCCATGCATGAGCTTCGTTGGAGCGGTCTTCACCGGATGCTCAAGCGCTATAAGCAACTTCACCCGTTCTTGTATCTCTTTGAAAGAGGCCGTGACGTGGATCGCGAGTTGCCGGCCGACGTACCTCCTAACGACGCTCGACGGTTCCCGATCGTGAACTATCTGCCGAATGCGTCGGAACACTGTTGCATCATGGATCTGCTCGAAGACATGGAGCTCTTAGAGCTTGCTACAAAGCGACTGCAGAGCGAAGATTTAACTGTGATCTCCGCGCGCGATATTTTCGACGAGGTGCTCGTTGATTTCCCACAATTGAAGAATCGGCTGAAGGGTGACGCAAAAATTGTCGAATCTGCCAATTTTGAAAGCGCTATCGTGAAGATTATGAGTGGGGAAGAACGAACGTTGACCAGTGAGGAGCGCGTAGTTGCTACTCGATTGAGGCGCAATCCAGTACCCCAGCGACAGAGTTCAAAGAAGGCCCAGCGGACGGGAAAAGCCTCGCAACCAAAGACCAAGCCCAATGTGGGAAGGCAAAAGCGCACTCGCACAAACTCTCAGTCAGAATCAGAAGACAACTTATCCGAGCCACCTGCAAAACGGAAGCGAACACCCTCTGAGGTAAAAGCTGCTATCATCAAGCGAGCCAAAACCCGTGAAGAACACAAGTCGGCCTTCGTGGATCTTGCCTGGATACCAGCCACATCAGTTCAAGTTGAGAGACTCTTTTCACTCGTGAAGTGCACTCTTGGGTACCTACGCAAGCGAATGAGCGCGGAAACGCTGGAGTCAATTCTGTACCTGCGCATGAATTGGGATCTTGTCACGAACGAGATAGTTTCTAAGTCTATCAAGACTGCACGAGAGGAAGATCTAGAAGATGAAGAGGAGTGTGACAGCAACTTGTAGGGAATTTAGTTCACGGTTTGATTCTTCGTTTTCAATAGTGGGTGGGGACCATAACAATCAATATTGTTTTCAAACAATACGATAGTATTGTAATAACAATCTATATTTACCGATCCCTGCACCGATAGTGTGCTCATTTACTACTCTAGCATGGGCAACGCAAGTGTTGAAATCTTCGATATCGACTCCTTTCATATTGGACTTGTACGCAGGGACAAGTGTGTTGCTCACCACATCAGCACGATACGCGGAATCGGCTATGAGAAATTCACCTTGCGAGAAGAAAGATGGTTTCCTGGAAGCATTAGCGATGGCCATTTCACGGTAAACAGTGCTATCAGAGCAGGAACCTGGCCATCCAGAAAAAAGGCAATAATACGACGGTGATCGTCACAAACCACCTGTGCATTCACACTATAGTGGTGTTTCCGGTCAAAATAACACTCGCCATCAACCGCTGGTTTTTGGGAAAGAGGAATGGTTGTGCCATCAATGAAACCTACACATCCACGAAAACCACTTTGCGCCATACGCGCGATATTGATCGTCGCCCTTCGGCATCTGGCCACATCACAAACTTGGCGGCGAGATCTTTCAAAGCAAGAAGAACCCGAGTCGTACAGAGAGCGCAGGTCCCTTGGCCGACCCCCCAAAGCTTTTGTGTTTACCGAGCGAAACACCATTACGGTAGTTTCCTAAGCGATTCAATGCAACTGCCAGCTCCAACGACACGGGGGCTTGTCCGCAACCAGAATTGTTGTGGAAAACTCCATTCGTTTCAATTTCTGATATGATACGAAAGAAGCTGGAATGACTCACCCGCGTGATCTGACGGAATTCCTTCGCCGTGAGCGACTGGATGCCGCTTTCACGAAACTCAGTGCTCTTCGGGAGGCGATCATGGCCTTCCAAATAGCGTCGAGACTCCACCAAGACGAGCAAAGAAGCGAGATCTTGTGCTGATGACGGAAGGTCTTCGGTACCGAACAATTGTGCCATTTCGCTTTTCACACAGTTCACGCAGCTCCTCTTCTGCTTCCTCTTCGACGATCGCCACGGCCAGGACGTCAACAATCTCGCCAAGCAAGCGCTGGCGCTCGCTGATTTTCGGCATGCTCTCACGACAGGAATATCTAAACTTAGAGAAGAAAATCCACATTGAGGGCACGCTTAAGAGGCGCGCTTTGAGTCCCCCTTTTCGTTTTGGCTTGTTTGCGGGTCAAAAACGACTTGATTAGAGCGGGAAAAGCGACTGACTGATTTGGGCGAAACGGCTAGGATTGAGTCCCCTCATTCGTATCACGTTAAAGGTACAACACGATCCATACAGAATTCACATGGATGGAGCCAGTTTCCACATAGCCACAACGAACAAGAACCCAACTATGAACTCAAACAGAGCGGAATTGCATTATTGGTTAACAGAAAGAGGTACGATACCGTAGTTATAGTACATTTATATACTAAAGTTGTTTTTATTGTAAGTGTAAGGTTTAATAGAAAGAAAACAGAGTCGGAGCTGGTGGTGCGAATTTCTCTACGCAACCAAAACCTAAGTCTAAAGCGCAGTTGATAGCGCCGCAACATGGAAACTATTTGCTGCACACGACAGCCTATCATCCAGAACTCCAACCATCGAGCTGATACGGGCAATGGTCAAAGGGAGGATTACTCGGGGCACCCAAAAAGCGGAAATGGCGCAGTAGAAAAATTTCTAGATTACCTTGGAGAAATTGCGCGCCAAGACTGAATTGACGTGTACAGACACGTTCAAGGCTACGAAAACAAGTATGTAGAGCAGGGTTGTGAGGAATACGAACTCAAATTGCTACTGCTTGAAGATAAGGTGGTTATATTGCCTTGTCTCATTGTCACAATCTGTTGCAATTTACAGTGACATGATACGATATTGTACCTGAAATTCCATATGATCTAGCTGATCGTCCAATCAGAAGCACCGCTGTACGTCAACATCAAGGCATTGATTCTGCTGTTTTGGGCTTACTGATTTTAGATCATCCATAACTTCCAATCGACTGAGAATATGCCTGTTTTAACCACATTTTCATAATCTAAACGTGACATAACGCCCATCTAAACGTCACTATAGGTTTTTGGTGTGTGAGACATAAAGAGGAGAACCTAAGTTCTGGTCCAATGACTATGTCGTTTACAACAATAAAAAATTAACAATCAGAGTTGTGAACACTAAAGTGTACCTCGTTCCTACGCACCGTGCGTCATATCTTCCATGCGTAACTACCGCGTTCACAAACTTAGAGCGTTGCGTAATCTTGCGCATGTAAACTCACATTTAATGTGAGAAGCACACTCAAGTAGCTGCATATGAACCTCTGTCTTAGAGGTGGACTGGCTGTTGCTACAGGCGAGCAGCGGATCGTTCATCTGGTCCAGTACAGGACCAGTACAGCTTGATATGAGCCTTCAGAGAACTGAAGCAGTCTCAATGGGGTAGCACATGGGGATGTATGGTCCTAGTCGCAACAAAACGAAATCGTCGTGATCAGGCACGAGAGTTTCGATGTGACAAAGCACAGGTGCGTAGTTAAACAAAACGACGATCTTCTTGTTCATGTACTCGTCTCGATACACATCCGACTCTCTGGCCACCTTGTACAGCTCTTCCATGAAGCCAACGTTGGTCTGCATCGTGAGTTGGGGGGATCGTGAGTTACGCAGCCACTTCGAACGCCGATGAAACTGCGCACTGGATCTGCAGATTGGGGCCTTTTGTGAGCGGAACTTGTTTTTTTAATCACGCGCTTGTCCTTCGGGCGTGCGCTCTTGACGTGCCATTTGTAGTTAAAAGCGTCGGCGTAAACGATCAGGTCGCACTGATCGTTATGGCTAATCAGTTTGCAGCAGAACTTTCCTTTTCTATTGTTGGTTTCTGATATTTATCACCAGGGTACCACAATGAAGGACAAATTTATCATGAGGGGGCACAAACGATTTCATTGGACAAAATAATGTCACAAACCTTCTTCAATACATTTATTTATAGATTATATTTTTTTGCTGAAATCAAACTATTGCAAGTACACTACAAACTACCTGTCCATGAGCTCCTCTTCAGATGGAGAGCTCACCAAAATCAATCTTTTCGGACGCTTTGGATACGATGAACCCGAGCTTCTGATACACTCTAGACATTTGGAAATTGGAGGCTCTTTCATTAGATCATACGCTTTTGACACAAGTAAAGGCGTGAAACGCAACAAGGGAGGACCAGCTTGCTCTGGTGTCGAGCTCGGAACAAACTTGTCCTGGGATCTATCATGGCCTACTCCACTCGTGCTCTATCCACAATGGAGAAGCGCGAGAAAATCCTTACAAAGAGGAAGAACGCAGGACACGATGTGACACCCTACGCTAAGAAACTGTTTGAGGAAGAGAAGCTGCGTGTGGCACAACAAACCGTCGTCTGCGGAGAGCCACCACACTTCTACGTTTTCGATGCTTTTGATTCTCGTACCGTTGGAAGCAGCGCTCACGTTTACGAGGTCGACATGGATTTAGGGACCTGTTCGAGATGCACAACTGCAGAACAGATGCGGATTCCTTGTCGCCACGTTGAAGCTGTCATCTTTGACAGAGCAAAGTCAAAGGCCAAAGGTTTAGTTCAATACGACGTTCGAGACTTTTTCCACTCGGCATACTTGGTACCGAATCTACAGAAAGCTTTGGAGTCGATATCGGTTCGACTGTCACTGTACAACGAGCTAAGCTTAACCGATAACGTGAAACCACCTCCCAATTACCGCCAAGCAGGTAGGTCTTCGATGCATACGCGGTCTGTCGAAGCTTTGGATATCGTGAGGGGAAGCAAAAGAAAACAAAATCGAGGCGAAGATGCTTCGTCTTCATTCTGCAGCGGGAGGATTCGATCAAAACCAACACCTGATATCACAACCGACGAAGAAACAAAGAACGTCTCAGTGTTTTTCGACGCTCAACTTTCCGCTACTTCCACCAAGAAAAGGGAAAAAATATTGCTGCACCAAATGCGGTAAGCCTGGCCACAACAAGCGGAGGTGCAAAGCTACATGTGAAATTGAAGAAGAAGAGGGGATTCGCCATGGTGTGTACGTGATTGGTGACTGCCCGTTCATTTCGAGCGGGAAGCATGATGCATACATCCAGGAGGTGAACAAATACCAATAGGACTTCAAAGATATACCTCTTTCCATAGCGTAGCAAGAAATCGTTTGAGAATACAGTTGACATCGATAAGAATATGAGAATAAAATGGCATTTATAATAATATCCACTTCGATATCCTGTAGGAACGTTTAACAACACGGAGTATTGTCAGAAGATGGCAACCAGTGTGAAGCAATAGCACGATTACCTTTGCAGGCGAAGCCTAGGCGCAGGAGACATCTACGATTTCTCCCAAAGCAGAAATATGAACGGTTGTTAGAGAAGCAAATTCATCTAGTACGTTAAGTGTAAACAAATGCATACCTTTCGCTCCATAAATCCACGCGTCATACTCGAGCGTTTACCAAGCGCAGGCCACCTCCATCGTATCCACGGCACCGGATTTTGTTACCACACCACTCACCGCTTCTAGCTCGGTGTTAGTGAGGTCTGCATCAGCAACACCCGAAAAATCTGAAAGCGACTAGAAAAGAAAGAGACGAACACCTTTCCCACATTGAAGCTCATTTTTTTATAAATCGTATTGTAGGGATGAGCATAACCCCCTTGCCGTCGCTGATAAAGTACAGCTGCTGTGCACTGCATCGCTACAGAGTACTTGTGGGAAGAACGTCTCCAATCTGTGAAAATGCTTTCTCAAGTTGCAGCCAAACCACGCTGACATGCACGGACAAACGTAGTCATAACGTCTCTCCTTGTCTGGCCAGAACAGCATCTTGTCTGCGAGTTTGAACGAGCTCGTTACACAGTTAATGCACAAAAAAGGTTAAAACAACGACAAAATATACAAGGTAAAGATCACATTGTCGAGCGTTAAGCGTACTTGAACTTGTAATGCAGCTCCACATCCAACTGGGTAGTGCTCTGTGCTCGAATATCAGTCACTTCCACTCGTATTGCCACGCTTAAGTGTTGTCTTGGTTTATTTATCACCTCGTTCACTGCGCATTTGCCTCGTAAACCAAAGAATATTCGTTGTCGGCGGTGGGGGTCCGGCGAGGCGACGATCTGTCCACAAACATACAAACATGTACACAGGATTAAAGCGACATTAGATAGAATATAGAGCATTAAAAAAACAGTAGTACGATCTCCGCACGTCACCTGAGCGGTAATTGGACGGCCCAAGCTTGAACACCCTGGTCCGCGTGCCAGTGGTTTCTCCTTCTATTGTTCAGTGAAAAATTCTTGAAAGCTGAAATAATGAAGAAGGTTTGTGACATTATTTTGTCCAATAAAATCGTTTGTGCCCCTTCATGATAAATTCGTCCTTCGTTGTGGTACCCTGGTGATAAATATCCGTTGGTTTCACTGTTGCATGTGATGGGCTCGGCGCGCACCTGCTTGATGGTATGCAAAATGTGGTAAGAGATTGTAGTCTCCGACAGACTCACGTTGAAGTCGTCGAGAACCCTCGCCTTCAGCGTGCGCAACGTGTATGAACAACACCCGTCTGATAAGGTCTCCAGAACCGCCTTTTAGTCGGGTGTTACCTTGGTAGCTCAAGCACCTCTGTGTGGCAAATCCTCGATATGGCTGTGACTCAGGGGTACTCCAACGTCGTGCGCAGAAATTCATTGTAGAGGGCGACGGAGCGCCAGACACAGCCAGAGCGATGCGCATCCAGCATGAGGTGTCGCTCTTCGGGAGTGTCGCATTTGGAGGGGAGATCATCTGCTGGTTTAGTCGCAAATTGGAGTATGAAGGAGAGCTGAGGCTGGCAACGTGCTCGGGTTGCCCGCAACCAGTGATCTTGGCGGCAGCGAAAAAGTGTGGCGAGCGACGACTTTAACTGTGGATTTTCCACATTTGGCTGTAGTGAATCCACTAATTTGGGGCACTTCGCATAAACCTAAAATAATTTCTGACAAGTTTTGTATGCAGATTAGACAATAATCAGAGAGCAAAGGTGTAGAGCGCTAGCCTGATCAGATGCCCTTTTGGACATGCGTATATAGTGCTCTGCTCTCAATCTCCCGCATTGTCTCGGCATTGTGGCAAGCGTCTCCATCCTTCATCAAATCCACGCACTTTGAAAGATGTCAGTGAACCAATCCGTCCATTTCGTAGTTTAAAAGTGGGATGGCTCTTATGGCAAGTACGAATAACGCTCCGGTATTATTATTGGTCACAAATACTTTACCCTGAAGACAAAGCCTTTATGACTAGTAAATGTCGGTATGATTAGAGCATATTATCGTACAATCATTTTATATAGTATACGAGTAAGTTATAGGATATAAAGTGTAGTTTACAACTCGCTTGCGCTAAGTGTAATGGACCTACTCTGCGCCCACTGCTTTGACTTACACGTATGCGCACATACATGAGAAAGAGTAGAGTGCTTTTCCTTGGATTATCTATCCTTCGTCCGAAAGGATAGATTTACTTAAATAAGGAAAGTTAAACCAATTTACGGTAAATGAGAACTGTTAATTATGATTCTATGTCATTGTTTGGGTTTCCTCCCAAAAGTGATAACGTATGAAAAGTATTATTCAAAAAAAAGTTGGCAAAATCCTGATACTCTAATTAGTAGAAAGAGTTCGTTATTCTACCAGTAGGAAGTCTAAAAGCGTGCAGACGAGTTGTTTGCTAAAGATGAATCACACACAAATGTGAAAACCCTTCGTAATTAAGTAGCTATGTGTAGCCACTTGCGTGTACCCCGTTACACTAAGAAAATACATGTTGATATTGTGAAAAGCACACTGTCGTCTCACTTCTACTGCAGATGGTGCTATCAATCTCGGGCTCCCACCCGGTCCACACATCATCGTCGGAGACGGGCACAATTTGAATAAGCATTGGTCTGATTGGCCTTTCGCGGGAAAATGAAGCACAATACCCCTTTTCCTTTTTTCCGACAAAGTGTGAGCACATATCGATCCAAAAGCCGTCACTCGTATTGCTGTTTATTATCTAAGCACCAGTCGTTGCAGTGACTGGAGTTCAGCCAATAGAGCAAGCCCAGCCCCCCCCCCCCTCGCTAAAGCTCGTCGCAAGTGGGTCTCTAAATTTCCATTTAGCAAGATGATACCGAGCCATAAGGTTTGTGCGCTCTTATACACAAAGAGGAGATACAGCGGATTGTAGAGAGGACATAAACAATCTCCGAAATAGAAAAACCTCTTACCCGAGTTAAAAACTAACGTTGTTCAAGTCACTGAAGTTTGGAATGCGGAAGTGCACCACAGATGTCGATTTTTGGAACTGATAACGTGATTGGTACCGTTTATGGCATCATGCTTGACGGTCTGTCACACGCTCCGATTCCAAAAGTGTATATTTATGTGGTGAAGCGCCAGTTGGCTTTCACGAATAAGAAAACTGATTGATGGGAAATGACCCGATCCAGCCCTGAGACTCATGGTCGACGACGGCGCGTCAGTGATTACGTCATCATCGGTGAAGATTACGCAATCATCGGAGTGGATCG